TTTAGGTTGGATTCCATGGATGAATAATCCTTGACTAACATCTATGAATAAATAAACTTAAATATATTGATTTTTTATAAAAACTTGGTTTATGAATTAATTACTTACAAACACAATCTGAACAAATCCAAGAGCATAACTTAGACAAAAACCTGCCAAACCACCACTCATACGTTCAGAATTCCATAGTATAAAAATACCAGCAAAATATGATGCAATAGCTCCTATGCAACCCAAGCGAACTGACATCCATCGATTAGACATATGAAGAAGATATGTTGTTCGATTTGATGTATTTAGGCTGTAACATAATATATATTGAATATAAGCAAGCAATGTTAATGGGCAATTAATGACTTAAAAAGTCAATATGTAATTTACCGATCAATGAAGGTTTTAATAAATCGATGTTCAGCGTTAAATGCTCGAATTGTTGCAATACCCCTAGTACCAAAAGAGGCAAAATTTAATTATTATTATTATTATTATTATTATTATTTTAATACTAAAAATAAATTAAGAATAACTTACACCACTGTCTCACTAAACCAAGAAACAACGGGTGAACGAGTTATGGACTGCAGGCGTTTTAATTCCCTTGAAGCATTAATATACATACGTCCAATGACAATATATGACACGACTGCGTAAGGAAGGCGAATAGTAAGCATATGTAACATAATATGTCTGACTCTATGTAGCATATTAAACATATTTTAACCTACCAACAAAAATGGAAACAAAGAAAAACTCGTATGTTACGGCGGTAACTACGGCAAGTACACTTATTACGCCAACAATATTCCCGAGAAAACTCGAGAAAACTGTCATAAGACTCTGATCTATTACACCCAGATCTTTAGAAAATCTATTCATAATTTTTCCAAGAGGAGCAACATCAAAAAAGCTTAAGGGTGCTCTTAAAATAACATTAAGCAATTCTGAAAACAAGGCCTTTGAACCTTTAAGAGAAACAAAAAGTTGCCAAATCATGCGAACAAATGTAAAAATGGCAGAACTTAGGGCAACAATAGCGTATATGCCTATATAAAATAAAGAAGGGTCTACTGAGGTAGTATTTTCTAATAGTTCGGGTGATGTTTTATTTTTATTAGGAGCTTCTGACCATATATTTAACCAATAAGTCTCG